AGCGATGGCCTTAAAGGGATCCCAAACTCCCAACACATGTTGTGTTCATATTGAAGATAATGTTAAAAAAAAAAGGTTCGAACCAAATTTTTTTGATTAAAAATAAATAATGAATGCATACCGTGAAAAACAAATGTTGGTGTTTTTGCCGAAGCTCGTCTTCTCCATTTTTTTCAACTACTCGGAGTCCTCAAATTATGCGTCGCAATCTACAGACTTTGGCAATTCCTTTGAAGCGCGTTTAATTCATAAAAGTTTTAGTATTTGACGTCACGGTAGACTTTTAACAAAAGAAACTCTGGAAATATTTTTATTTATTTTTAGTCGAATTTTTTTGATTATTTGTTTAGTTTTTTTTTTTTCCTACTTTTAATATTTAAAAAAATATTAAAAACCTTAAACAACTGGTTCGTTGCTATAAATTGTTATTGCGCCATATATTTAATGTTTATAAATTATGAATATTTATTATCTCAAAAATTGTTTTACATTAATTACCCGTATAAAATTAGTAACAGCTTTTTTATTTGGTTAGACGATATTTCGTTTCAATTTGCTTTGCATGAAGTTCGGAAAGTCAAACGAAAAAATTAGTTTGAATAATCACGTCGAAATATATTTAAAACAAATTATTTTAATGACGGGGGTTCTAAAAGTTTTTATAACAAATGTAGGTAAAAAAATAAATAACTAAATAAAAAGTTCAGTATTAAACACCATTTCTTTATTATATTGTAACTGTAAATATTGAATTATTAACGTGAACTAAATTTACTTATTATTTAGAACGACTAAGCAATAAAAATAAATTGCCTCTAAAATTATGCGAGATTGTGTTGTTTATTTGATAACTGTTGTTGGTAATGTTGTTTATGTTGATTATTTTCATAAATATCAAAATAGTTCCAGATTAATCTGTTCGTTACTTTGCTCCTTGTTGATTTATTTCTAATTTAATTTTATCTCAAACTATAATTATATATTAAAAATAAAATTTTTTATTTCATCGGGCGCTCTTTTTATAAAAGAGTAGAACAAAAGAGAAAGAAAAGTTAACTTTAAATGAATAAGAGTTGTAAAGAATATATATATTTTTTGCGTCACTCGTTCTTTTTTTAGATGAGAGAAATAAAAGTTTAATAGTTTAATTTTCTTTGAATAAATGAGAATTGGAGGAGAAAATTGCTTGAAAATTTGTATTTGTTAATTGTGTTTTTAAAAATTTTTAATTTTTCATGTTAAGAGACAAATGCCAATTACGACACAAATTTGGAAATACCAAATATAATATGTTTTTTAATGCGCGTTATGACATTTTAACAATTTAAATTACCATCTTGAATTATTGCCTTTAATTAATGTGTTAATTATTGCGTTATTTAATAATAATTGTCCGTATTTTGGTTAAATATTAGTTGTATTAAACGGGCAAAAATATACAAACTTCATGTTTTTTATTTGATGGTTATAAAATATTGAACAGTAAACTCATAATCAAAATTTATAATGCCGACTTGTGTTGCAATTAATTGTACTTTTAATGCAAAATCAGGATCTCACATATCCTTTCACGAATTTTCATATCTGATACTACTGTCAAGTGTAAAAAAAAAAAGTACAAGAATACACTAAACTATTGTTTAGTGTATTCTTGTATTTTTTTTCATTATCTTAACAGGTTCTAATTGGTATGGAGTTGCTGACATTTTAAAAATTTCATTATCAAAAATCAAATGTAAAATAAAATGGTATTTCCTTTTTATCCGTATCCAATTCAGCAAATTTAGCAATTTAAATTAAATCAGCGTGATCAAGATAATTTTATAATAAAAAAAGTTAACAATTCATTAAATATCTCTAATTAATACTGTTAGTTTATGAAAGTAATTGTTAATAAATACTTTTTTTCAACGGGAAAACAAAAAATTGTCATAGCGTAAAAATAACCAGAGAAATTAGAAAATAGTTCCCATTGTTTAAATAAAAATAATTAAGAATCAGAATATATAATACTGCGCTCTCTTGCGCTAAAACAAGAGACCGTATATAAAACGTTCTATATAATGTAAAATACTCGTATGAAAATCATGAGATTGGTAAGTGAAGCTTTAATATTTATTTTAATTTAAATAATTAAAGAAATATAAGTAAGATATATATAAATCTAAAAATTATTAAGATATCTGTAAAAAATAAGTTGCTCCTATAAAATAAAAATAATTTATTGTTTTTACTTTTTACAAAATTTTTTTTGCAATGTTTAGAAAAATAATACAAATAAATTTGTTTTGCTGTATGTTAAAAAAATACTACAGTAGAAAAACGTTAGTTTAATTACGCTTTCTTTTGTTAAAAGTCTACCGTGACGTCAAATACTAAAACTTTTATGAATTAAACGCGCTTCAAAGGAATTGCCAAAGTCTGTAGATTGCGACGCATAATTTGAAGACTTCGAGTAGTTGAAAAAAATGGAGAAGACGAGCTTCGGCAAAAACAACAACATTTGTTTTTCACGGTATGCATTCATTATTTATTTTTAATCAAAAAAATTTGCTTCGAACCTTTTTTTTTAACATTATCTTTAATATGAACACAACATGTGTTGGGAGTTTGGAATCCCTTTAACCTCTCCACCTTTATCTAATGCGCGATAAAACCTATAGGTTATTACTGTTAGCAAATCAGCCATAGAACGAGAAGATTGAAATCCATATTGATGATCAGAAAGTAAGTTATTAGATTCAAGATGAGAGATTAAGTGTTTGTTAAATAAAGATTCAAAAACCTTGCTTTTAATAAGAAAAAGACTAATGGGACAGTAGTTCGACGAATCGGATCGCTCTCCAGAATTTTCAAAAATAGGGATAACAGATGCTGCTTACCGGCAGGCTGGAAAATAAGACTCTGATAAGCTCTTGTTGAATAGTTTTGAAAGGATAGAAGATAGCTCCGGAGAACAGGTATGTTGTCCAGGCCACAAGCTGTAGAAAAGTCTAAGCAGGAAATCTCTTTAGATGCTGAAGCTAGAGTGATACGAATGTCAAGCAATGGATCAACCTGTTTGACGGCTATATCAGGTAGAACGTGGAATTAAGAGATGATATTGATGAAAAGTTCTTAGCAAACAATTCAGCTTTGTCTTTAGGTAAGGTGACAAAGTCTGAACCATACAAAAGAGGTGGAATTACAGACTTACCCTTATTATTGATACTATTAAAGATTCTCCAGAAGTCACGAGAGCCTAATTTTTGTGATTAAATACAAGATTTCATGACCTGAGAATAGCGGGCTTTGGTATTAGTCAAAACCTTTTTACAATGGTTCCTAGCAATAATAAACAGATGTCTGTTTTCTGAAGAATTGTTTTGGTGATAGATATGGAAGTAACAATCTTGATTGGCAGTTGCAGCAGTGTAATGTAAGGAAAACCATGGAGAAGAGTGAGGTTTGACCTGGAATCGTCGAGGGAATAAAAGATTACATGTCAGCCTGAATCCACGAAGTTATGTATGAAGCACATTTGTCAACAGGAAGACAAAAGATTTCTACCCAAGGGCCATCACGAAGAAAATCATGGAAAGAGTCCCAGTCAGCTTTAAGGTAGTTGTAAGATGTACGATGATAGGGGGATTCTGATGGTAAAGAAAAATGAGATAATAGATCAAACTGTGATGTGACATTCACCCTTAGGTGCCTCTGGCACCTAAGGGTGAATGTGGAGAAACTGAGCACTGACTAGGATCAGAAACAAGATATAAGTCGAGTAGTGAAGGTAAATGATTCGGGTTGTCTGGAAAGCGAGTTGGAAAGGTAAATGATTCGGGTTGTCTGGAAAGACCGGAACCATTTCCAGATATTGAAATTTGCAATCATTTACTTTAAGGCCTGTATCATTTAAAAAATCAAAAAATACTACTAGTTTTTGTCTCATTCAAATCACAGAACTGTACAAATAAGATATTATTGTGTCTTCCAATTTTGTAAAAGGTATTTTTGCAATTGGTGCAGTGTATAATATTGATGTAAATTCAATCTCATCAAATGTACAGTCTCTATTTCATAGCGCAGGTATTTTATAATTTCATCATCAGGACATTAGTATTCAAATGTGAAAGAAGCGGTCATTTATATTTGTTATAATAATAAAACGTTCATTTATATTTGTTATAATAATAAAGTCTTAATACTTTCAAATTTTTACACAAATTCCACCTGAAAAGAAAAACTTTTTAAATTTAATAGAAGATAAGATACTTTTTCTGTCAGTTTACTTAGTGAAATTAGCAATACTGAAAAGAAATGTTTTTAATTAGATCATTGCAAAAGTAGTAACTAATCAAGAGAGTAAAACAAATATTTTATTATTGCCATGCATCAATAGAAATAAATATTAACAGTTTATTGTAACCAGCCTACCATGCATCAATAGAAACAAATATTAATGGTTTATTGTAGCCAGCCTACCATGCATCAATAGAAACAAATAGACAAATATTTAAAACTTTAACATATCTACCCCCAACTTTTTCAGGATTCATCAAAGACGGTTTAAATGACAAAAAATTTCATGCAAAAATGCAGCCTACTTTTGAAATTCATGTTAAATATTCATAAATCCAATATTGGTTGCCTGCAGCCTTGTTGTGAAGATAGTAACTTCCAACTCCAATAGTGGTTGATTGTTGGAAGTGAAGTCAGTAACTTTCAACTCCAATAGTGGTTGCTTGCAGCCTTGTTGGAAGTAAAGATATTTAATAAAATTAAAAAAAAAAAAATAAACTTTAAATTTAATCTTCTTCTTTTGTGCATTTAAAAAATACACAAACAAAAAATATATATAATATGTATATTTTTTATATTTGCATAGTTTATGTTTTTTAAAGTTATACATACAGGTGTTAAATGTTATACATATAGTGCATATATGTATAACAGACATATAACAGAAATGTTTTTAAATGATTTTTTAAATTCATAAACAATATTAAACAATTGATTACCTTGAATTCTTGTATTTCTTTTGAAGCATCCTTCTCCATATAATCAACTTTTGGGAGAGTGGAATCAATAAATTCATCCATTTCTTCTCTATCCAAAGCGTATGCTTCCAAGCACCTGTAAAATTTCTGAATCGATGGATTTTCAAACATACTTATGGAATAATCAATATTCAACTTTTCTATTAATTTCTTTGCTTTATCAACTTGATCGTCATTAGCTCTTGATCTATTTTCTAACTTTAACTTTCTTATATCTTCACTATAGGGTAAGTATATTACATGGAAACCAGGAGCATTTACTTGTGCACTTTTTTTATCATCAAGTTCAGTCTGAGGCATTAAAGCAACAAATCGTGGGCAAGAAAAAGTGCTTGATACCAAAACACATATCGGCAAAACTTTTTTTACCACACATCTTTTAAGAAGTGTTGCAAAGATGTTTGAGCTCCCTAAATAACTATTTTCATCTGGGTAGATGAAACTTGATGGTTTAATATGATAGAAGTCCTTTAAATATTTGATTTTTTTAAACCCCAATAAATGAAAACCAGGCTCAATAAAAGCTTTCATTTTATCTACTTCTTCCTTTTCGAAAATAACTTTTTCACCTCCAAAATTTTGGTAACACTTAATATCAGTAGACAATAATTCAAGACCTGTATCTTTGCAAAAATATTTTGTTGAGCACTGAACTTCTTCATTTGTTCTTCTATCAATATTTACATGGCTTCCTTTTGTGCACAATTTATTTAAAATGTACATTGACACTCCAAATTTTATGCTATCATTGAAAAAAAACAACAACCGACATACTGTTCGTTTGTTATGGCTTTTTATTCTCACTCTAGTAAGAAGTTCTTCAAACTTTTCTGATGGATCAATTAAAGTATTATAATCTTCAGTATTAATTAAGTCTTTGTAAAATGCACTTACATCAAAGTGATGATTTTCTAAATAAAATTATATATATATATATATATATATATATATATATATATATATATATATATATATATATATATATATATTATATATATATTTGATTAATATAACTTTTTTTAATGTGCATATAAGTATACATTTATCACTAAATTATACCTAGGGATAGCTGCAATGACTGTGCATATAATGACTGATGATTTTTTAAAAATATAAGAAAAAATAAAGCATACCAAGCAAGATTTTCTGTATGGAGAGATATATGCCTATATAAACTAAAGACAGCGACACAACATGTGAAGATGTTGTAAAAATTTTAACTTAACAAAATATTTCTTCTTTCTTTTTTTCATTTACTATTATGTAAATTATGTTTAATTTGTATTATTCAAACAAACAAAAAATTTTCTTAAAGATTGGTTTTTTACGCAACACAAAAAAAACTTTTTTTCATCATGTAAGAAAAAGACAATACAACAACAACAATAAAAATGCAGTGCAAACTTTAAAAGAAATAGACAAAAGTTAATTTGAATTTGGAATCATTTTTTCATTTAACAACAGCAACAACAACAAAAATAATAATAAAAAAATTGATAATAAGATAAAAAGAAAAATTTAGCCAGTCAAACCCAATGATAAATAAATGCAAACATTTCTAACTTGAGACCTGGTTGTGAGACGAATTTGTTTATTGGATGCCATATTGAATACTGGCAAGAAACGTGATAAAAAAGATTTTATAATTTTACTTGATTTTACATTTATTACTCAAACAATGATTCTTATTCTGCTTATAGTTTGATTATTTAAGATTCTGCTTATAGTTTGATTTATTTAAGCTTAAGGAATATCTTTTCATAAATTTTCATAAAATAACAATTTCTATCAAAAATGGGTTGTGGCAACAAAAAAAACTTCATTGATTCCAACAAAATGTAGTTACATATGTAGTGTCCACTCTGATAAAAAAGATTACAATTATAAAAAGCCAATAAACCTCCTTTAGAAGCTAATGTTGTTCCATCTATCTTTGATTTTCTGGCAAAAATATATTATAAAAAACCTACCAAAAGAAAACATATTTCCAGAAATGTAGCTGAAACATTCGAAACTGTCGAAGTAAAAAAGATATCTTTCATTTCTATCTTTCTCTGACAATCCTATTTTTACTAGTGCAGATTTTACTATTGATAATCTAAATAATAAAGTTGATTCTCCATCCAAAGTGAAACTCAAAATAAAAACTAAGACTCAAGACCAAAAGCTAAGAAAAAAAGAATTAAGAATGAATACAAAGACAGAAATTATTAAAAAACTTGAAAGTGACAAGCTTATATCAGCTGATACAGCTCAACTGCTTAATAATAGCTTTTTTGGTTTTGATTGTAACTTGTTTAAATTTGAACTAGTGAATAAATGCAAAGATCCTAGAGGTCACAGATATTCAGAAGAAATAAAAAAATTTGCTCTAAGAATTCATTTTTATTCACCTCATGCTTACACTTTTGTCAAATCATTATTTTCTTTGCCTTGTATTAATTCTCTAGCTAATTGGTCATCATCTATTGATTGTTCACCTGGGTTTTTTAAAGATATTTTTTCTTAATTAAAAAAAAAGGATTAAGCATATAAAAATTGCACACTGGTCGTTGATTCTAAGCATACAAAATCAGGTCTTGTTTATAATCCAAGTAATGATAACTACGAAGCCTTTTCAAATGGAAGCAATATATCTGCTTTTGATCCAAATAGCATACCTACTGAGGCTCTTGTATGCTTGGTGGACTTTGAGGTCTTTAAAAATGTCCTATTGGTTATGTTCTAGGTGAAAAGATTTCAACAACAAACTTAATTTGCCTTTTAACTAAATCAAGAAATTTTTCTATTTACAAGGTATAGCTGTTCACAACATAACTTGTGGTGTTTTTTGCAATTTTAGTGCTATAAAAATTCTTGGTTGCTTGTTTGATGAAGTTGAAAATGTGAAAACGTATTTTAATAGTTTTAATAATAATCCAAATATTATTCAATTAAAGTCAAGTTTCAAATTTTTTTTTACTAAACTGCCTCATTTTTGAAAAAAACTCAGCTGGTTTAATATTTTCATTGAAATGGAGTAAAACCAGATTGCCAATCATAGAAGCAGAGTTTAAATATGAAAATAAAAATATTGTTTCCAATTTATCAATCAGTCTTGAAGGGATTTCAACATCAATATATAAACAAGCATATATATATATATATATATATATATATATATATATATATATATATATATATATATATATATATATATATATATATATATATATATATATATATACATATATATATATATATATATATATATATATATATATATATATATATATATATATATATATATATATATATATATATATATATATATATATATATATATATATATAATGCATATCTTTAGATAAAATATATATAGTTAATATAAAATATACTGGTAAAAATGTTTTTATAAAGTACCTATTTATTCTAATCCATGTCTGGTTTTTTTAACCCTATAATAAATTGATAATTTCTTTCCATGTCAATTAACTTATTTTTTAAACAATAAATTTAAAGTTATATCAACTACTTTAAGTTTACTATTATAAAAATAATGTTTATATAAAATAATTAACATCAGCTTCTTCCACAAAAAGATAACACTAACTACACTAAAAAAATTGTTATTATATCATTTTTAATCAATAAACCTCAATAGATCAGGCTTATTATTTTGTTTATAATTTCTTGTAAAAACTTCGCTTATTTATGATGTTTTGCCAGTATTTTTTCTTGACTTCAAGATTAAAAAAACTTTTTTACTTAATATCTTCATGTTGAGCTTCTGAAGACTTATAATACCTTCTAACTCAAACTATTATGATATCTGGGATCCCAAATCTTCAGATTCAGAGGAATAAACATCATTTTAAAATGTCTAAAAAATTTAGATACAATTTGAAATATATACTTAATATATAATTATACTTGTGGTTGTGTGGGTTTTCTATTATCTTTAATTTTCATAACAAATAAAAACTTAAGTAAAATAAACAAAAACAGAAACTTCACTTAGTTAGGGCCAGAGTAACAAAAAAATCATTATTAGGCCGGGGCTGAGGCTCTGGTCAATTACTATAGGTTATCACTAACATAATATAGTTTGAACATTTGAACAATATCATTTATGTATAGATTTGATGCCAAAGTTTGATTTTTTATGGAAGGAAAGTATTTAAAACCACAACTATAAATAACCTATCATATAAAAAAATATACACTATATGTATATATAATATAAATATTAAAATATATTACTCCCTCTCTCCTTTTTAAAAACATAGGAAATACCCATTTTTGATAATCTTGAATATGTGTATTCATATGTATATGTGTATGTATGTATGTATGTATGTATGTATGTATGTATGTATGTATGCATGTATGTACGTATATACGTATATAAATATATATATATATATAAATATATATATATATATATATATATATATATATAAATATATATATATATATATATATATATATATATATATATATATATATATATATATATATATATATATATATATATATATATATATATATATATATATATATATATATATATATATATATATATATATATATATATATATATATATATATATATATATATGGGGAAGCAAGCGTTTTATTCATCACTCTTCGATTTTTCTTCTTCTTTTTTGAAAAAAACAGTTTAGCTTAAGGTAAGCAGAAAAAGTGAGCAAATGCTTATCAAAACACGCTTTATTAAGTGTATATATATACATGTATATGTATATATATATATATATATATATATATATATATATATATATATATATATATATATATATATATATATATATATATATATACATATACATGTATATATATACACTTAATAAAGCGTGTTTTGATAAGCATTTGCTCACTTTTTCTGCTTACCTTAAGCTAAACTGTTTTTTTCAAAAAAGAAGAAGAAAAATCGAAGAGTGATGAATAAAACGCTTGCTTCCCCATATATATATATATATATATATATATATATATATATATATATATATATATATATATATATATATATATATATATATATATATATATATATATATATACAGACCTTGCGATAAATAAGAACTGCGCGACGCATAAGCACGACGTGATTTTTGACGTCATTAAATTCTTTTTATTTGCTTTTCATATTTATCGACATTAACTGCACCAATTTACTTAATTACCGCAAAACTACTTTAAATCGTTTATGTAGAAATGTTATTATTCAAAAATTTTTTGGAATGTTTCGTTTTTTAAAATGTAAAAACATTTGTTTATTTTCTCGATGTTTGTCACGTTTTGTCTATACTAAACCAATAAAAAACATTATAACTTAAATTTAAAAAAGATTATAAAATATGCTAATATTTGATTTTTTTTTTCTTAAATATGTAATTTAAAGTTTTTCAAATAATTATTTTTTCTTTTTAAAAAGTCAGCGAGTAATAAACTGGAAATTTTAATATTGTACGATTAAAAACTGTGCAATAGCTAATATTTTTACAAGCGATTTTATATAATATTTATTTATTTTTATTTATTTTCAAAAAGCGGTTGATAAGCACAATCACTCGTATTAATAAAAAACTTATTCTTAAAAATTATTCGAAAAACTATTGACGTTCTATTTTTCAGCGGCTGTTCTTGAGCACGCTTCGTTGAGTTTCGTTAACTTTTAACAAAAAAGCGATCGTTATTATTTAAGTAATTTTTATCGAGTTTTTATCGATTTATCGATATTATCGATATCGATAGTATCGATTTTTACAAAACTTTTAATAGCTGTACTTTCTTATTGAATCAAGTAGAATACGTTTTAATATTAATCCTTTAATTTTTTTTATTGGCGCTTACCAATTTTTAAAATATTTCCTCGAAATTACTCTTAAATACTTTAAATACGTCTAAC